TACGGTTAGGTTACACAATAACACATGTTTAATACTGAAAGCAGTGAACTAGGCATTCCAATAACTATCATTTTGCTACAGAAATAACGCAAATGCAGTATTAAAATAAGGAATAACATTAGTACTGCATGACAGTATTTAGCATGTCCAATAGCTCTCTAATGTTGCTGGTGTTGTTGCAGTGTGGGCGGGCTGTTGGGGTCAAACAAGCGCGAGCAGTGGCTGCAGCTGCGTCAGGAAATCGAAGCTGTGACCGACAACTGGTTGACGCTGGCCAATAAGTGCCTAACGCTGATCAATTCGCGAAACAATTGCGTCAATGTGCTGGTAACGACCACGCAACTCATTCCAGCCCTGGCAAAAGTGCTGCTCTTCGGTCTGGGCAATGTTTTTCCCATCGATAACATCTACTCAGCAACGAAAATCGGTGAGAATTTGTTGCGAATTTTCACATCCAGGAAGTGGGAATTGACGGTTTGATTTCGCAGGCAAAGAGAGCTGTTTCGAGCGAATTGTGACGCGGTTTGGAAGGAACTGCACCTACGTGGTGATTGGCGACGGCCAAGACGAAGAAGCCGCCGCAAAAACCTTAAATTTCCCGTTTTGGCGCATTACCAGCCACAACGAAATCGCCGCCCTGTACAACGCCCTCGACATGGACTTTTTATGATTGATCTGTGGTTTTATGTAAAAAATGTACATTTTATAAATAGACTGTTTAAGTACTGCGGATTTGCTGAGTTCTCGAACTACATTCGTGCGTGTGTAGCGGTAATTCATGTTTATGTTCAAAGCTTTAACTTACCGCATTCTCTCAAGCAGGTTTTACTCGGAAAGCACCACTTAAGATTCTTAAGAACCGAAAAAAGGATTTGAATTCAAACTTTTGACTTTTGCAGAAAGTCACCGTATGCGAACTGTCACCATAGAGACAGTAAAATTACTTTACTTTCTCTATGACTGTCACCACTTCTTCTTTTCTTAGTGACTCATGCCATTTTGGCGGTATGTTGCAAGTGAAATTTTTTGTTCTGTTCAGGCATTCCGTTTTATTAATAAATTGTGCCAAAAACTCGCTTTAGAAGAGTTGTTTTGTTTAAGTGCGACTTCCGTTCATTATTGAAATTCTCCACCAAACCAACCGGGAAAAATGTGTTGAAACGAATTATTTTTAGTAAAAAATGTACCAAAACAATAAATAGTGTTTATTGTACTTATTCTATAATTTTGTATCATAAAAAGAGCTAAAGATTGTTTATTACAAAATGTATATTAAACTACTACAATAAATTTTATTGTATATAAACCACGCCCTGGTCTACTCACTTCCTTTCATTTGATATCCAACCTAATTTTGTACATACTTTCCTGACTGTGTTTCAATTCCAAATCAAAATTAATTCCTGGGTTGTAAAAAATACACCGAAACGTATTTTAATTGATAAATAGAGACAATAAATGACTGAAACCCAGGAATTAATTTTGATTTGGAATCCAACCTAATTTATTGCGGTTTTTGCAATATAATTCAAATATCTTCACTCTGCACTGTTTACTACCAGCAAAACGGGCATGATTTGTTCCTAAGTAAATTAGTGAACTCCAGTGGCGCCAGGGAGAAAACGCCACTGACTATTTAAATGCAATGTTCGTTAAGCAAGTTAAAATGCAACTATTTTGCATGTTGTCTCATCATAACGCATTAGAAGACAGTGACGGAAAGAATCAATTTAATTCGATTAACATTAAAGATTTTTAGAAGACTGGAAAGATGCTGCAGGTTTCATAAGAATCTAGCAAAATTCTGAATTAATTATACAACACGATAATGGTTTTCACGCACTTTTGCGTAGGAGAATAAGCAAATTATGCGTTTTGATTTGAAGAGCAAAAATCGCCCAACCATGCAACTGCTGTTAGTGTGTGTATTACAGCATTTAGAGCTAAAAAAACTTGACTCCCTGGTCCTCGTCGGATAAAATCAGCTCACATTTGCGGTCGCGCTCCAAAACCTGCAAGGCCTTCACCAGTACGTCCTGCTGCATCCCATAGAACTCCTCGTTCTTGACGTCATCGCCTTGAGACAACTCGAATAATGTCAGCACTGTGCCCTGCAGCCCCTTAGAATACACGTGGGCATAAATCATTGATGACCATTCGTCCAGCGTGTGCCAGTAAACCTCCCAGCGATGCTTGGCCTGCCGATTTGACACCAATCAACGAATTAATGAAACACGTCAAGTTTAGATTAATAAACCTTGTCAACTGGGGCTGCATGTCCACTCTTCTGCATCTCGGACAGAATGGAGACGATCACTGCACCGTCCAGCTTTCGATTGATGCTGGCATTGTTGAAAAGGGGGCCATTATCTGCCTCACGAGCATCAATTAGGTAGAGTTTCGACTGTTTGCAGTAATCCAGAATGAGGGCTTTCCAGGCCTGGACTTGCTTCGCTCTGGTCTCCGGATTGGGCTGTAGTGTGAAAAAAGGCGGAAAATTGTACTGCCAGGGCCAGGCAATCTCGGTTTCTCCCATTTTCGCTCAGGGGCACAGCCTTGCTTGGAATATCAACACAACAACAGTGACAAGTACTTGTCTCTGACAACAAACAAATAACCTAATTCTCCTCTTCTCAACCTTGCCATCATAACCTGAAACAATCAGTTTTTATAAACAAATCCCAAGTCATCAATTCAAAAATACATTATGAACGAACCGCAGCCGGATCAGGGCGCAATTAGAGCTGAGGTGCTTCAGCTGATTAGCAGGAAAGACCAAATTGAGGTGGAAATGCGAGAACTGGCAGCTATCTTAAGCCAGGTAAGACCGTTGAATTTGTGCTCATTTGATCAAGTCTCTCTTGTTGGCGGCTTCAGCAGAATGGGGTGGGCATGCATGAGCCCCTGGTGGACGCAGAAGGTTTCCCGAAGAACTCCATTGACACCTACCAAGTGCGCCATGCAAGGCACCAAATTATCTGCCTGCAAAACGACCATAAGGCCCTAATGAAGCAGATTGAGAGAGGGCTGCAAGGCTACTACTCGGCCTCGTCTTCTGATTGCGGAATGGATACGCAGCCGATCAGGCCCGCTGCTCGACAAGAATTTCCCTCGTTTACTGTGGCCTTTGCCAGAGTCACCGATGTTACTCAGGACTCTCCAGCTGACCTTGCCGGGATTCAAGCTGGAGATCAAGTCGTGGAATTTGGCTCAGTGAATTCGATGAATTTCAAAGCAATCACCGATATAGCGACGGTTGTACAGCATTCGGAAGGCACACAGATTAGCTTGAAGTTGAAGAGAAATGAACGCTTTATCACAATCAGCCTGGTGCCGAAGAAGTGGGCTGGAAGGGGTTTGTTGGGATGCAACATTGTTACCATATAGGAAAAATACCTAATATAATACACTCGTCAATGGCACATAATAAACAATTGCTCTGAACGTTCTACTGAAGAGATTCTGACTGAAATCACGCCTATGACCCAGTCCTATTAGACAAGTCGTTTTTCATCTTTCTCAGCAACGACGGTATAAATTTCACTTGAGAATCCACACAACCTGTGGCGCATTTCTCGAAGATTTTCGTGAACTTATCCACCTGCAACCACAAGTTTTACAACTCAAGTTACATCATAAACGGAACGTTACCTCTGAATCGGACGGATTTACCCCTAGTTGGACTCGCACGTCATCATTGCAGTTCATCACACATCTTTGCAGTTTGTTCTGCAGGGCCCCCAGTTCTTCTTGTACGTAGTTCTGGGCCCAATTCAGGGGCTCTGAGCAATTCTCCACACATTTCTGGACGCGCTCCAGCGACGATTCCCGGTTATCACAACAAGCCGCTGCACATCTATGCATATCTGCCTGTTGTATCATCGTTATTACTCTTTTAATCAGTTAACTTTCTGCTAGTACCTGCATTTTTCGCAAGTATTGCATGTCCAGCTCGTTGACGAGTTTGGTCATTTCCTGTTCGACTCGTTGCCTCTGCTCTTCCACCATGTTTCTGTCCGTTGGTTAAAGGTTTTAAAAGAAAAACGTGATTTTTATATCGATTTGCGATAAATTTTTATGAGGTTAGAACTGGCATAACCTCACAAGTAAAAAAATTACATTTTGACAAATTTTGTAGGTGTTGTTAAGACATATCAATGTCTTAGGCGAAAAACTTAAAAAGCAAGGCTTTAAATGTTTTTCGGATATTCAAAGGAGTTAAGTTTTTCGGATATTCAAAGGAAATCAGTGAACGATTTGAATGACAAGATTCGTGCAATTGTCTATATAGTTAATTTCAAACACAAATTTCTGTGGCAACCGAGTATCGAGTTGCGCTATTTAAACGTCATAGTTTGACACTGACAGTCCGACAATAGCCCCGAACAAAAATGTCCAGTTGAATGAATACATTTACAGTAAATTACTGGTAGTTTTAAATTATTTCGAGCTCCATTCAAGGTACAAGCAATCATCCATTCGAATAATAAGCCCTTAATATGGAAGGCAGCAATTTTCGAGTGAAACGCTTAGCGAACTAAGGCTGCAAACTTGGGGAAAGGCGGGAAACAAATCAGCGTCGACCTGTATTTTGTTGTTAAAAACTGTTTATTGTTATAGTGCAGCAATTATGTGTGATGAAAGCGAAGCGGACCAGTTATTAGGACCGCTTCAAGCGGCTTTGGACGCGCTGAACAGGATCGAGGATGTGCAAGCGTTGATGTTGAAGTTGGAGTCTCAAAATAAGAAAAAACTGTTGAAAAAGGTGAAAAGCATCGCTTCCGACGTGTATGGTAGGGCCAGCTTAATCAAAGAGACTGTCTCGAAAGCGTATAAACGGAGCAAAGTGGGCGAGGTTAACAAAGAACCCTCTGAAGTTGTGGAAGTAAATGGAACTGAAGAAGCAAGATATAGTCCAGTGCTGAAGCGGTCCAAATGGCTCAGAGGTGCTGGAAAAGCGACGGTAGAACCGGCAAAGGTAGGCTGTGCAATTTGGTGAAATTTATGGCAATTGCATGCAATTTTAGGCTGAGAGTAGCGAGGCTGCGGCAGCTCCAATCAGGGCAGCAGAGCCAGCTGCCCAACGCAATACTAGCACAGACATAC